TCCAGCGCGGAAATGACCGCGGCCGCGCTGGGGGCCTGCAACCCCTGAACCTGCAACCATCTGCTATTTTTATAGCCTAAGACCTCCCGGGACCTACTCAAAACTCATCCGAGGCCTCGGGGCTCCAAACCGAACATACATATAAGCTCAAAAACATCCTACGGACTCATCCGTGCGATCAAATCGCCCAAACAACATCATAATCATCAAATTAGGCCTCAAGACCCAGGATATCCTTCCAATTTTTCATAAAACATCAAGTTTAGAGTTTTTAGTCCAAAACACGTCAAACGACGTCCAAATTCAACCAAACTTTACAGAAATTACTTAAGCCGTATATAAGACTTGTACCGGGCGTCGGAACCAAAATACGAGCCCGATACCACAGTCTTTTGATCAAATAACACTTTCAAATTCTTTAATTATTTTCAGAAAACAATTTCACACAACAATTCATTTCTCGGACTTGGGACCTCGGAATTTGATCCCGAGCACACACCTAAGTCCCAAAATTTCCTGCGGACCCTCCAGGACTGTCGAATCACGAGTCCGGGTCCTTTTGCCCAAAACGTTGACCAAAGTCAAACTCAATCAATTTAAAACATCAAATTTATTATTTTTCTCACAATTCCACATTTAAACTTTTTCGGCTACGCGCCCGGACTGCGCACACAACCCGAGGCAACCCCAAATGAGGTTTTCACGGCCTCAGAAGTACAAAGGGAGTAGGAATACAGGTGATGACCCTTTGGGTCGTCACAATACTGCAATAATATTTGTGACCGGAAATACGTGAATTTACTTGAGTCGTGCTGGGCACTGTCCTAAGAAACTATTTCAGCAATGTGAAATATTTTCCCAGGATTAAACAAGCCCATCTCTAATTATTTAGAGGATACAGGAATCAGCAAAATATTAATAATAAATCCAACAAGTTTGGAATGAGGAAATAAACACAGGTTATAAAAGAAATTGGAACACACAAAAGGCTACACGTAATTGAAAAAAGAGAAGGCTTGTAGTGATGATTACTAATCATTAGCAATCATGAGAGAGCAAAGTATTTATTGGTATTTTTGGATGGTATAGGAAGTGGGTATTTATAGTTGTAGAATTATGTAAGAAGATGACAAGTGTTCATCTACTTGTCAAAAACATTCCATGCAAAGAGACAAGTGTTATGTCTCCTCTACCACTTGTTTATGGCTTTGCCATTTGGCCATATATCTTCATGCAAAGGCCACATGGTAGATATTCATGACCACTTGTAAAATTAAAAGAACACATGGCTATTTAGAATTTTTAAAATACTCCCACAATCCCCACATATTTTCAAAATTTATAGGAGAAGGATAAAGGAATGGAAGAATAGACTTGCTGGATTTGCATGGTCCAAATGTAATAGGTTTGGTGTCTTCTGGATTATGAACCAATCTTAGACCAATAAAATTTAACTCACAGAATTACTGGTGAAATGTTATATTTCTTTGAACTAATAATTCTTATTGTAAGTCAGAGTTTTTATCAATCATATTTTGACCCCCGGTAATTTTGCTGTTCAACGCGGTTTTGCGCCCAATAGGCCATGCGCGTGCCTGGTTATTTATGAGAGCTTTAGAGACTAGGCCAAAATCTCATAGGAGCGGCCCACTCCACTCTCATATAGGTGAATTCATCAAGTGTATACTGCTTTTAAATACACCATCCATAAGGACTATGAATTTCATTAAGAGTTATAACTCAGCCTCTCAATTAGTAGCAGTCAAGCACTCTCTTTTAGTGCATCAGTGCCAATATTGACTTGTTATTACTCATATGAACCTACTTCATGGGATCTCCAATCACATAGGTTGGGTTACCATCTCTATTGACAACATGTCGGCCTTAACCCCATCTCTTTTGAGGTTTGAAGAATTAATTTTCTTCCCACGGGTTTAGTCAGAGGATCGGCCAAATTTATCTCTGACTTCACATAATCAATGAAAATTATTCCATCTCTCAACAGCTGTTTTATGACATCATGTCTCAATTTCATGTGTCTGCTTTTACAATTATAAGATTTATTCTTTGCAATAGCTATTCCAGCTTGACAATAACAATGCATAGACACAGGAGGCAATACGTCCTTTATTAAAGGGATATTAGCTAAGAAGTTTCTTAGCCACTCAGCCTCAGAACCAGCTAACTCCTGAGCTACAAACTCTGATTCCATAGTCGATCTAGCAATGATCGTTTGTTTAGCTGATTTCCACGATATTGCACCACCACCAAGGGTGAATACATAACCACGAGTGGATTTTGTCTCATCTGAATTAGAGATCCAGTTTACATCACTGTACCCTTCTAAAGTAGAAGGAAATCCACTATATAAGATACCATAATTCATGGTTCCTCTCAAATATTTCATTAGTCTATCTAATGCAGACCAATGCTCTCTGTTGGGATTATGCGTATATCTACTCAGTCTACACACTGCATAGGCTATACCAGGCCTTGTAAAATTCATTAAATGCATCAAACTCCCAATAAACTGAGCATATTTAGACTGAGCAACTGGATCACCATTATTCTTTTTCAACTGAGAGTTAGCATCAAAAGGAGTGCTCACTGGTGTGACATTAAAATATTCAAACTTCTTAAGAAGTCTCTCAACATAATGTTCTTGTGACAACATTATGCCATCTTCACTCCTTATAACTTTAACTTCCAATATCATATTTACTTCACCCAAATCTTTCATATCAAAATTAGAAGACAAAAATAATTTAGTACTTTGCACAATATTTAAACTTTTACCAAATATAAGCATGTCATCAACATATAGGCATTTTATCACATAATCATTGTCTAACACTTTATAAACACATTTATCCACCTCAACTGAAGAAAAACCGTCTCTCGGTAAGACTTGTTCAAATTTCTCATACCACTGCTTAGGAGCTTGTTTAAGGCCATAAAGAGATTTAATTAATTTACGAACTTTATTTTCTTGACCAAGAATGACACAGCCTTCAGGTTGAACCATATAAATCTCTTCTTCTAAATCACCATTTAGAAAAAGCAGTTTTCACATCCATTTGGTGGATAAAAAGCTTACGGATTGAAGCTAAGGCGATTAAAACTCGAATAGAAGAAATTCTAGTCACTGGTGCAAATGTATCAAAATAATCTATATTTTGTTTTTGAGAAAATCCTTTTGCTACTAACTGAGCTTTATATTTATCTAAGGATCCATCAGGATTGAATTTTCTTTTGAAAATCCATTTACAACCAATAGGTTTTGCACCAGGAGGTAAATCAGTTAAAATCCATGTATTATTTTTCATAATAGAATCAATTTCGACTTTTATTGCCTCTTTCCAATAATTAGCTTCTGAAGAAGATATAGCTTAAAAATAATTTGATGGTTCATTATCGACAAGAAAAGTTTGAAAATCATTTCCATAGGAAAAATATTCTTTCCTAGGCCTTTTGCTCTTTCTCAGTTCCTCATTAGAGGTAATTTCTCTATTTGTTTCAACAGGTGTATGAGAAATTTTATCAGACAGTGGATAAATACATTCAAAGAACTAAGCATTCTTTGTTTCAATTATAGTATTGCAATCAAGCACATCACTTTTCAAAACAAGGAATCTATATGCAGCACTATGTTCAGCGTATCCAACAAGCATGCAATCAGCAGTTTTAGAACCTATTTTTCTCTTTTTAGGTTCGGACAACAGAACTTTAGCAAGGCACCCCCACACTTTTAAATATTTCAAATTAGGTTTATAACCCTTCCACAATTCATACAGAGTTTTGCCAGTTCTTCTATGTGGTATTCTATTTTGTAAGTGACATGCAAATAAAAGAGCTTCACCCAACAAATTATCAGGTGCATTAGAACTAACTAACATAGAGTTCATCATCTCTTTCAATGTTCTATTTTTCCTTTCAGCTACTCCATTTGACTCAGGTGAATAAGGCGGAGTTACTTCATGAATGATTCCATTTTTTTCACAAAAATCATTTAAAGATAAATATTCTCCACCTCTATCAGATCTAATTCTCTTGATTTTTCTACTAAGTTGATTTTCAACCTCAGTTTTATAAGAAATAAAAGCATTAAATGCATCATCTTTATTTCTAAGCAAATACAACTTAGTATATCTAGAAAAATCATCAATAAAAGTCACATAATATCTTTTACTACCTCTAGTCATAGTCTGCTTTAAATCGCCTAAATCAGTGTGAATCAAGGATAACAATTCAGTTTCTCTATTTAAGGAAAAACAAGTCTTTCTAGTACTTTTAGCTTCAGCACATATTTCACACTTGTTAATAATATTTGAGTCCAAACTAGATATTAATCCTAGCGACTGCATTTTCTTTATATACGCGACATTAACATGTCCTAGTCTAGCATGCCACAAAGAAATTGACTCAGCCATATAAGCAGAAGAAGATGCATTTTTATTGTTAGTATCGGAAATATTAAGCACAAATAAACCATGGTTACAATATCCATTACCTACAAAAATATCATTTTTGGTCAATACGACCTCATTATTTTCAAATGAAACCTTCACTCCAACTTTTCCTAATAACCCCACAGAAACCAAATTGGTTTGGATATTAGGAACATGCAATACATCACTCAATGCTAGAGTTTTACCAGATGTGAGTTTGAGAAGAATTTTTCATTTCCCAAGAACACGAGTTGCTCTTGAGTCACCAAGATAAATAGTTCTTCTCCTTCCTCAACTTGGGTGTAAGATAAAAATTCATTTTTGTTTGCACATATGTGCCTAGTAGCACCAGAGTCTATCACCCAATCTCTCACATTGGCCACATTATTTATTTGGGAAATAACCGCAACAATTATATTATCCGCTTTAGTAAAATTCAATTTTGACTGAGTGAGATTGTCATTTATCCCAGCTCTTCTCTTGCATTAAGGTGCATTTTTCTTGAAGGTTTTAATATTAGCATTAGATATGTAATCATGTCTATCTACATACCTGTATTTTGACATTAGTGTCTGCCAAAGTTGTGGATGCAATAATACATTTGCAACACCATGAATATCTGGCAGGACAGCTGGAACAGTAGCAGCAGAGACAACACCAAAATTGGTAGCACCATCAAAAATTTCCGCAGTAGTATTACTTGCCGTAGTTTCTTAGATTGTAGGGATATTACACGGAAAAATAACAACAATAATACTGCAATAATATTTGTGACCGGAAATACGTGAATTGACTTGAGTCGTGCTAAGCACTGTCCTAAGAAACTATTTCAGCAATGTGAAATGTTTCCCCAGGATTAAACAAGCTCATCTCTAGTTATTTAGAGGATACAGGAATCAGCAAAATATTAATAATAAATCCAGCAAGTTTGGAATGAGGAAATAAACACAGGTTATAAAAGAAATTGGAACACACAAAAGGCTACACGTAATTGAAAAAAGAGAAGGCTTGTAGTGATGATTACTAATCATTAGCAATCATGAGAGAGCAAAGTATTTGTTGGTATTTTCGGATGGTATAGGAAGTGGGTATTTATAGTTGTAGAATTGTGTAAGAAGATGACAAGTGTTCATCTACTTGTCAAAAACATTCCATGCAAAGAGACAAGTGTTATGTCTCTTCTACCACTTGTTTATGGCTTTGCCATTTGCCATATATCTTCATGCAAAAGACCACATGGTAGATATTTATGACCACTTATAAAATTAAAAGAACACATGGCTATTTAGAATTTTTAAAATACTCCCACAGATAGCACACCTTGAAAATTTTATAAAACATCTGAAGAATTGAATTCGTCCATAATTGAACCCATTTTGTTTTTTGCTTTTTCGATTGGTATTCGGCCTATAATGGAATTCTTTCTGCTTTAATTAAAAATATTCAAGGCCAAATTTCAAGGCCCATCAATCAAACACAAGATCTTGATGATTTGTGTTACAGAGATGACCGATATTGATTAGCCTATAAGTTGTACGTAAACTATACTTTTAATTAGCATCGTATAGTTTCTTTGCTCTTAAATTATTTCAGGGGAGAGTTATTCTTCTTCTTTTTTTTGGTAATGAAGATATTTATTCCGCCTTGTTTAAGAGTTATGTCACGACCCGGATTTCTCACCCTCGTGAGTCGTGATGGCGCCTACTAATGAAAGCTAGGCAAGCCAAATTAATAACTTATCCGTTAATAATCTAATTCTTTTTTAACAATTTACGATAATAATACAAAAACAACGAAATTCAACAATAAGCGGAAGTCTTAACATTTTATAAAACTGAATAGCAATGCGGAAAGTTCAACAAAATCCTCTACCCAAGACTGGTGTCACTGTACTCACGAACTACTAAGAATACTACATACAAACGTCTAAAAGAGAACATAAGCTGTTTGTCTCGATTACAATGAGATAACAGATAAAAATAAAGCATAGAGGAGACGCCGGGCCTGCGGACGCCTGCAAGGCTACCTCGGGTCTCGCTGAAATGAAGCCTGCTCCCACACTACGGCTGCTGCTGCTCGAAACCTAGATCTGTGCAAAATAGCACAGAGTGTAGTATCAGCACAACCGACCCCATGTGCTGGTAAGTGTCTGGCCTAACCCCGGCGAGGTAGTGACGAGGCTAGGACCAGACTCCAGATAAACCTGTGCAGATATATATACAAGTACAACGGAAATATAGCAAGAAAATAATAATTTAAGCTGGGGAAGGGAACATGCTTCAGGGTAACAGATATAATCAAAATATAAGGAACAATGGTACGTACATCTACAGTTTAACTTCTAACAATAATGAAAAGGTAAGACAACTCTCATATTCAACTCATCTTGTTGCAGGCGTGCAACCCGATCCCATTTCTCATTATCTCGTGGTAGGCGTACCACCCGCTCCCATTTCACTATCACTCGTGGTAGGCGTACCATCCGCTCCCATTTCAACATCACTCGTGGTAGGCGTACCACCCGCTCCCATTTCAACATCACTTGCGGTAGGCGTACCACCCGCTCCCATTTCAATATCACTTGTGGTAGGCGTACCACCCGCTCCCATTTCAATATCACTTGTGGTAGGCGTAACACCCGATCCCATTTCAATATCACTTGTGGTAGGCGTACCACCCGCTCCCTTTACTTTCAACACAATACACAATACAATCCCGGCAAGGGAACAATCAAATTAATAATCTTCCCGGCAAGGGAACTATAACAACAAGTCAAACATCCCGACAAGGGAGAGTCAGCTATAACCAATCCTTTTCAACTTCTTCCTGGCACAACTAATACCAATATTTAATCACAACCTTCATAGGATCAAACAAGGGTACACAATTATCAAATTAAGACTCACGGTCATGCTTGACACCGACGCATGGATACTCGTCACCATGCCCATACGTCGTACTCAACACAAACAACTAGCAATTCTGACTCAACTCCTAATCCCTCAAGCTAGGGTTAAACCAAACACTTACCTCGATGCTTTGAACTTAACTCAAGCCTCAACAATAGCTTTACCCCGTGATTCCACCTCTAATCCGCTCGAATCTAGTCACAAGTCACTTAATTACTTTAATAAACACTAAATGAATCAATTTGAATGCATAAAAATGAATTTTCCAAAGTTTTTCCCAAAAATTCCAAAATCGCCCCCGGGCCCACGTGGTCAAAACCCGAAGTTCGAACCAAAACCCGGTTACTCATTCCCCCACGAACTCAAATATGTAATTTTTTTTTGAAATCGGACCTCAAATTGAGGTCGAAATCCCCAATTTTTGAAAAACCTAGGTTCTATCCAAAATCCCCAATTTCACCCATGAAAATCATTGATTCTAAGTGAAAAACATGTTAAATGATGTTAATGAGTGAAAGAATTAAGTAAAAATTGACTTATAAATGATTTGGGATGAAACTTGTTCTTGAAAAATCGCCTAAGGAGTTGTATTTTGAAAGTGGGGTGAAAAATGGCCTAAAATTCGACTAAGTATGAAAATTGCTGGGCTGCAGATATGGGAATTGCGAACTGGGGTTCGCAATTGCGAACCCCGACCAAATGTGGGAATTGCGAACACTTGTTCGCATTTGCGAACTATGAGGAGAATTGGGGACTTCGCATTTGCGAACCATAAGGTCGCATTTGCGAAACCCCAGCCTTCGCATTTGCGAGGCTCAACTTCGCATTTGCGATGGGTTTCAGGCCTGGCAATTCTCGCATTTGCGAGCAGACCTTCGCAATTGCGAGCTCGCATTTGCGAGCCAGGCTTCGCAATTGCAGGTCAGTTATAGCAGCAAAATTCCCAAGGTTGAAAATGCACTCCGACACCTATCCAAAACCCACCCGAGCCCTCGGGGCTCCAAACCAAACATGCACACAACCTCAAAAACATCTTACGGACTTACTCGCGCGATCCAATCGCCAAAATAACATCATATACATTGAATTAAGCCTCAAAATCCATGATTTCTTCCAAATTTTCATAAAACATCAAATTTCCATTTTAAGTCCGAAACACGTCAAACGACGTCCGTTTTCAACCAAACTTTACAGAAAGTGCTTAAACCATATATAAGACTTGTATCGGGCGCCGAAACCAAAATACGGGCCGGATACCATAGTCTTTTAATCAAATTTCATTTCCAATTTCCATAATTATTTCCAGAAAACAATTTCACACAAAAATTTATTTCTCGGGCGTGGGACCTCGGAATTCGATTCCGGGCATACGCCCAAGTCCCATATTTTCCTACGGACCCTCCGGGACCGTCAAATCACTGGTCCGGGTCCGTTTACCCAAAATGTTGACCGAAGTCAAATTTATTCAATTTAATATCAAAATTTAGCATTTTTCTCACAAAATTTATATTTAAGCTTTCCGGCTATGCGCCCAGACTGCGCACGCAAATTGAGGCAACCCCAGATGAGGTTTTTAAGGCCTCAAAAGCACAGAATGAGTAAGGAAATAAGTGATGACCCTTTGGGTCGTCACAAGTTATTACAAATTGGGACTCTTCTAGGACACAAAGTTCCTAGCTTGTCCAGTTCAAAAGTAGAAACAACAAAAGGGGGCGGGGAGAAGTACAACATAGGATTTCCAAAAAAGTTCAAGTTGCTTCCATGTTTTGCCATAGCATCAGCCACTCCACTCGCCATTATCGTTAGTAAGCATGTTAATTAAGATACTGCAATCTGTTTAAACCACTAATCGCCTAATGTTTTGTTGTATTGCTATTTTTAGACCTTGTATAAGGGCGAGGGCTTCCATGTATATGTTAGTAGCATGGGGGATGGACATGTTAAAACCTATAATCCAGTTGCTATCCCAGTCTCTGATAACCCCTCCAATGTCGACACTCCCAGGGTTGCCTAAGCTAGATCCATCTATGTTTAATTTAAAAGTTCCCCGATCAGGTAGTTTCCATTTTATGTAGACAGTCGTCCTGGGGTTGGGACTCTGGAAAGACTCTGTTAACAACTTATATTCCGTTGCACTCTTAACGATGTTATTTAAGGAGAGAGGAGATTTATTGTTGTTAAAGATAAAATTATTTCTGTGAATCCAGATATGCCAAAGGGTAAAGGGAAGGATATCTGCCTTAGATAAGAATCTATTAAAGGAAGATTTATTATGGCAAAGGGGTTTCAACCAGTTATGCATAGTGAGCTCATTGCGGGGCTGATCCGGGTATTTGTAAGAGCTTCCCAATTAATCCCAAATAGGTTTTGAGTGTCGGCAATTAAAGAACATATGTTCCATGTCTTCTTCTTCGTTTTGGCAAATATTGTAAATGCTAGAGTTAATGATTTTTCTATTATGCAACATTTTGGAGGTGGTTAATCTGTTATGGACAACTGTCCATAAGAAGGACTTGATTTTGCTTAAGGTATCGAGCTTCCATAGCCAAGAAAGGTCAGTCCAGTTTCCTTCTTCTTTTGACTGGGCTTTGATAATATTGTAAGCAGCCTTCGTTAAGAAGGATCCATTCGGTCCCTCTTCCCAAGTAAATTTGTCTACTGCCGGCGCACTCTGCTTAACATAAGTGCTGAAAATTTTTTTACGAATGGTTTCTGGTAATTCGAAGGAGAGGATATTGATGTTGAAGGAGCCTTCCACTAGGATAGAACTTAGGGGTAGATTTATTTCATTGAGGGGTAGATTTATTTCATAGAGGGGTAGAGGCCCCTGTATGAGGGAACGTAGGGGGCCTGAGTCTATGATCCAGGCATCATGCCAAAGGTTGATGGATTCCCCATTTCCTACTTCCCAATGTAAGCCTTTTTCGCAGATTTCTCTACCAATACATATATATTTCCAGATGTGGGTTCCTCCTTTTTTCTCTAGATCCTTCCACCTGGAAGAATTCATATTGATGCTATATCTATTTTGTAGGACTTGAACCCATAGAGATTGTTTCTCCCTTGCAAATCTCCATGCCAGAGTTGCATTGAAAGATTGGTTCTTCCATTTGGCTTTATATAGCCCCAGGCCTCCTTCTTTCTTGTCCCTAGTTACTGTGTTCCAATTAATGAGGTGACATTTTCTCTTTTCAGATGTACTCCCCTACAGGAATTCTTTGAATGGTGTCAATATTTTTTAGGGTAGCTTTTGGGAGGCTATAGATTTGCATGACATGATTGGGGATTGCTGCAAGAGTGGATTTTATTAGGGTAGTCCTACCTGCTGTGGTCAGGAGATTTACTTTCCATCACTGTAGTCTACTGTTAAGGCTATCAATAATAGGTTGGAAATCTTTTTTGGATGGGTTTGAGTTCAGGATTGGGAATCCTAGGTATTTCCCTACTTCATTTGAGGGTTTCATGGATAAACATTGACTGATGTATTCCTTATTTCTGGAGGAGGTATTTTAGGAGAACATAATTCTAGTCTTGTGGAAATTAATGGATTGTCCCGAATAGTTGCAGAATTTATTAAGGGTGTCTATTATTGAATTACAGCTTTTTTGATTGGCTTCTGCCATCAAGATTAAGTCGTCTGCAAAAAACAGGTGAAACAACTGTGGTCCTTTATTAGACATTTTAATGGGGGTCCATCTGCAACAGTCAATTTCATGGTGCATAAGTCTAGATAGCATTTCCATGCAGATTATGAAAAGGTATGGGGATAGGGGGTCCCCTTGCCTAATCCCCCTCGTTGGTCTAAAAAAGTCTGTGCTAGACCCGTTTATCAGGATTGAAGTTTGGGTGGTCGAAATACAGGACATTATTAGATCAATCATATCTTTGGGGAAATTTAAAGAGATCAGTGAGAATCTTACGAAGGACCATTCTATTTTTTCGAAGGTTTTCACCAGGTCTATTTTAATTAACATTTTCCCTTTCTTCCCTTTGGTTCTTTTGAAGTAAGACACTACTTCGTTCACAATAATGGCATTATCAGATGCTCTTCTCCCTTTTAGGAAGCTTGTTTGTATGGGGTGTATAACTTTTGAGAGTAGTGGTTTAATTCTATTAACCAAAATTTTTGTAATTATTTTGTAAGCAGTGTTGCAGAGGCTTATAGGTCTAAATTATTTTATAATTTCCAGACTCTTACATTTTGGAATTAAACAGATGTAGGTTTTGTTCATTTCCTCCGGTATTGATTTATTTCGAAATGTCTCTATGCAAAAACTAATTAGGGCATTTTTTGTTTCATTCCAGAACTTTTGGTAGAAGAAAGGGTGGAGGCCATCCGGACCTGGCGCTTTATAAGGTTTAAAGGAGAAGACTGCCTGTTTAATTTCCTGTAGGTCAGGTTCTAAGCTCAGTGAAGAGTGGTCCCTACTACTAAGAGTAGTATAGTGAGACATTGGTGTTTGGTTAGTTATGTAAGAGATATGACTTGTTGTAAAGAGATTGTGGAAGAATTCAGTAATTAAAAGGATAATCTCCTTTTGATCATAGAACCAATTGCCCCCCTCATCTCTTAGGCTAAGGAGTCTATTTCTTCTACGTTGCATTGTGGTAATGTGGAAGAACTTTGTGTTTGCGTCCCCCTCATTTAGCCATTGTACTCTTGACTTGAGTTTCCAGAATACCTCTTCTAGTTTTAAGAGGCCATTAAGATCTTCTGTTAAGGTTGATTCCAGGTCCCTTAGAAATTGACTAGTAGTATACTTAGGTGATCTTTGTATCCCATTGAGCCTAGCCAGGGTAACATTTTTTTATGGGAGATATTTCCAAATATAGTTATGTTCCAGTTTTTTACTTCTTTTGTGAAGTTTTCAATAGCCGTTAGAATAGAGTCGTTGGCGTTCCAATTGGCTTCCACTAGAGGTTTAAAAGTGGGGTGGGATAGCCACATTGATTCTATTCTAAAGACTTTATTTTCACGGGGCATACTTCTTTTTAAATCAAGTTTTATAGGGCAGTGATCCGAGTACATTCTGGTTAAGTGAGTTACTTGGGCTTCAGGGTATATATTAATCCAGTTGGTGTTTGCCATATATCTATCTAACCTTTCCAGTATTAACTTTGATTTTTTCCATTTATTTGACCAGGTGTACTTCGGACCTTTAAACCCTAGGTCTAGGAGTTCACAGTAGTCAATACAGTTTATGAAGTTGGAAACCCTATTATTGTTGACAGGTAATCCGCCAAATTTTTCATTTGCCCCTGTCACTTCATTAAAGTCCCCCGTGACTAACCAGGGGCCTTTAAAGGAGTTTGCTACTATTTTTAGGTTGTTCCATAGGATGCTTTTTTCCTCTAGTAAACAGCTAGCATAAATAACTGATAAAAGCCATTGGTGTGGAGAATCATTTAGCTTTACCATGGCGTGGATTTCCTGCTCAGTGCTAGCTACTTGATCTATTGTCACCTCTGCTTCATTCCACATCATAACCATTCCACCTGAGTTACCCTGAGCTGCAACTTGAGTCATTTTTGTGAACCCAAAGTCCTCCATTATAGCTTGGTGTCCCGCTAACTTTGTTTCCAGTAGGGCCACCAGAAATGGTCTGTTATAGTCTAACATTGATCTAAAAATCCTCCTGAACTCCTCATTACCCGCTCCTCTGCAATTCCAGATTATAACACTCATCGATCTATTTAGGGTTTGGGGTGTCTCTACTTGTACCTGCCGTGGAGTCTCTTGGTGTTGACTCCCCCATGCCGTATTGTCTTGGTACATCCAGTGGTGCTCGTAAAGGGTTAGGATTATTACTGTCCCATATTTGTCAATTCCCGGGGGTCTTTGAAGAATTCTTATATTGATCGAGAATTTCCTCAAGTCGTGCGGGCAGCGTAAGATGTATCATTTTTTCTCTTTTTTCCTTGAACACCAGCGTCTTTGGGTCCCTTATCATGCCGTACTCCACTCGTCTTGCTGTTGATGATCCTTCCTCGTCTTCCCCCTCTTCCGTCTGCGCTTGAGCAAGTGCATGGGGACTGTTTGGTGTCGCTACTGTAGCTATGTTTTGGGCAGCTTCTGTTTGCATTTGGTTTGTGTGTGGTATTGGATTGTTGTGGTTGTTTACATTGTGGGCTGCCTGGTATTGCTGGAAGTGTGTTTGAATTAAGGGTATGGTTTCTTGGAACAAGGGGAATTGCATGCTCAGCCCTATAGGAGCAGTAGGAGTTGGTCGTGGTTGTCTGCTCCAAGGTGATGGGTGAATCCCAAGGTGGGGTGGGGTGGGGGAGGCATTTGGTTGTTGAACATGGCCAGCCATGGGTGATTTGCAACATTGTCCAGCCCTATCCTCAACCCCTCCGTCACTATTTGAGCATGGTAGCTCGGATTTTCCAGAAGAATCGTGATGTCTCTCCCTTCCAACTGGAGATCAGGTTGAGGGAGAAGCCTGTCAGTCCGTATTCCAGCCATGACTGTGGAGCATGATTCATTGGTAATGGTGGTGTTGTGTAGATTATTGGCTCTGATGGGTTCATGGGTGGGTATGGTGCATGGTGTGGTGTTCTTGGTTGTTGTCTCATCCAAACATTTCTCCTATTTCTGTTGTGCCTGCGTTGGTAGTTGGTGTGGTGAAATCTGGCCATTGTGGTGTTCGTTTGTCTTTGACAGAAGAGGAGTTGTAAGTTTGGATGGTAAGGGCTTGTTAGAGTTGGAAGATAATAAGGTTGCTTTGTTGTACATTGGTGTAATGTACAAGGTTGATGGGACTTGATTATCAGCTTTTTGGTTTGATTTTTATTTTGAGAGGATTTCTTCAATCGTTTTAGTCGGTGTGATTTGTGACAGGAGGTCGTTTGAGGTAGGGTGTTCTTTTGTGGATGTAGGAAACCTAGTTGTAGGATGATTGTAATCAACATTTAATGTTGATGTGGCTTTGTCTAAAGTGGGAGCAAGGTCTATGTCCATCGGATTGTACTTGTTTGTTAGGTTTAGGGCTTTGTTCTCAGCTTGTTCTTTTGTTCCTTGGTTCGTTGGTAGTTGTCCGCTGGGTTTTGGGGAGAAGTCTGCCTTCTTTATGGTGGCAGGGTATGTGGGTTCTAGGTTCTTGAATTGGGGTATTAGTTGTGATGTTGAAGGGTTTGACAAAGGGGTGGGAGAGGTGTTGTCCAAAGTACTTTTGTACACGGGTGCTTTTGGGCTGGTGCAACAGCTAGTTTGTCCTAGGTTTTTTTGCGTTTTTTCGCCTGGTAGGATCCTAGGATTTCTACACTGTGTACTAGGTTATGATCTTGGTTGGGGGGAAGGGTATTGACCACAGGGTTTAACGGGTTATTGTCCTTGGGCACTGGTGCCTGTTGTGGACGTTGAGAATTGTCCAGATTTGCTCCCTCATTTCTGTCGCCCTCGTTTCTGGATCTTGATGTCCCAATTTGCCCAGTTTGTTCAAGGCAGTGGTATCGTTTTGTTTAGAACTAGTCCAGTTTTGGTTTTTTTTTTTGTTTTTTTTTGTGTGTCACAGTTGTCCAGTGGTCTATTTCTTTGGTTAGGGTTTCAACCTCCATGGTCCTATCATTGTTAGTAACGTTTTTTGGTTGTGAAGTAGATGTAACATTAGGGCAGTTAATTGAATTGTGACCTAGTCGTCCACAGGACTCGCATAACAGGTTAAATCCTTCGTAGGCTATTTTTTGGTAGTGATTTCCTATGATGATATGTGCTTTAAGGGGTTTCTCGATAGGTGTTAGTATACATAATCTTGCATATTTACCTCTAGTGGTTGAGGTGGTGCACGCGTCGATCCTAAGACGTTTTCCTATTTTGTGAAGAATCTCATAGTGGTAGAACTCTGTTGGGAGCTCTGGTAATCTGGCCCAGACTACTGAGAAGGTTAGTGAAGCTGTTGAAGCGATGAACTTGGGCTCCCATTTCCTTACAGTGAGGAATTGGTTTCCGATGAACCAAGGTCCCCCGTGTAGTGCTTTGTCGTAGTTTTCCGGTCTAGTGAATTTTATGAGATAATAATCGTAGCCAAGGTCGATCAGTGATAGGTGCTCAGTGGGTCTCCATATAGCATGTATTTTTTGTTGTAGAAATTGGTAGGTTACTCGTCTTCCGAATATTTTGATGATTAGAGCATTTTCCCAGTTTTTGTATATTCGTTCCTTATCCTTCGAAGTTATGGGTATGAAGTTGTCCGGGTCAAAGATGTTATCAGTTTCTTCCGAAGTATCAAAGCCAAATATAGACTTTTGCACTGTGATTTGGTTTTTTGTTTGAAGGTTGTCTAGGTTTTCTTGTAGCTTGGATAAGAAGGTATATTTGGGTTCTTGATTGCCATTGTCGTGTTCAGGATTAGTTTGGTGTCCCTCTATTGTTTGGGATCTCGAGAGCTGCTGTGAGCTTTGTGTAGCTGTTTTGTTATCTTCAACATGTTCCATATCCGTGTCTTTATCGTTAGGAATTTGTGTCGTTTCTTCATTGTGATTTTGTACTTGGTTTGAAGCTTCCAGCATGTGTTTTGTTTAGATGTCTTTGTTGATGGAGTGTTATTGTGGATGGTGAATGGAAAAAGCTAGGGTTCTTTTCCTAAGTGTTCTAGAGAGAAGTCAGACATTCTCTCTCCCTCTCTTTTCCTTGTGTGTGGAGCCTGAGAGTTATTCTTCATTAATAAACAACACATATATGTTCGGAAAAAAAAAAATCAAAAGCCTGATTTATAACTGCTAAGTGAAAATTAGTAGTAGTAGTTTTAAAAGTAATTGAAATTTAGCCACTTTTTCATGTGAAAATAAAATTTGAACAAAAATATCCTTAAAAATCCGAAAAATTCCAGCATATATAATATGCTAGAATTCAAATTTTTACATATGAGATTCTAGCATAATGTACTGAAATTCATAATGTGTTGGAGTTCCAACATAATATATGTGGAAGTTTATACACAGGAGTTCCATAATCCAGTATATTATGCTGGAACTCCGTGCTTTAGCTAAGTACTTTTGTCTGAATTTTTTTTCTTAAATAGTAGCTACTTTTCAATGACTTTGCAAACACTAACTATTTTTTAATAATCATCCGTAAAAATGACTATGCCATGCCAATTTTACACTAATTTTAGTATCATTTAAAGTTAACGTAACCCATACAGCATGCAGGAAAATCTTTCTATTGACTCATGATCTCGCGACAGGTATAATATGCTCCAATGATTTTAATGTTCTGTGTATTAATGATATAAAATATATATACACACAGTAAGATTATCAATTATGTATGGAATATAAAGTAACTATAAGTAAATTTCTATGATAAAAGTAATTGTTACTCGATAAAAATGGAACCAAAAATAATTAACCAAATTATATAGGTTGTACTACAAAGATCATCTAAAAATCTTTGCATGTCAATATATATATAATAGTTAAATCCTTGCAAAATTAATGCATCACACTATTAGAAGTTCAGAAAAAACCGACCAAATCATATCGACAACGTTGGTCGGTCAACAAAAGCGACCAAAAAAACAATCCAAAACGAACGAATATTGTAAAAAAAAAATATTTTACATTTTTTTAAAATTACATACCGACCGAAATTGGTCGGTATATTGGTCAAACATTTGACCGCAGTGGTCAGACTTGCTTAGTCAAAGCACCTTTTTGATTACCGACCAACATTGATCGGTAATGTGGACCCNAAATTAAAGAAACGAAAGAAGTTATTAGTATTAAGTAAACGAGTTAAATTAATAGGTCAAACATGGTCAAACTTTTAATTTGAATCACATTAATATTTACTATCTAAATAATATAATGTAATTTGTTAACACTTTTGTAATACAAATAATGAATACACTAACATATACTATAACATGTTATATATGTAGTTAAAGTAACACAACGAAGTGTGTGTGTTATATATATACACACACTAACATATACTATAACAAGCTATATATAGTTAAAGTAGTACAACGAAGTGTGTGTGTGTGTGTGTGTGTGTGTGTGTGCGTGTGTATATATATATATATATATATATATATATATATATATAGGTATAGCCGCATATATATAAGAACACAAAACGCTAGTACAACGAAGTGTGTGTTTGTGTGTGTGTGTATATATATATATATAGGTCTCGTAGGCCTTCGCCTGCGAGACCGTAGCTCTGAGCCCCCTACACCGCTTACGCATGCCTCTGATACACATGCTGAGGATGATGATCCAGAGGTAATTCATTATGATCGCTGTGGCAGGATCTTCAGTACCTGAGGGTGACGGGTAAGAGTTATTTGTTATTTTTGCGTTTATTGTTTTATAAGTTTTTACTAATATATTCATGTATTTTTATTGTTAAATTTCAGGTTCAAGCCGGGCAAGCAAACTACGAAGATAATCACCATTGCGATCAAAAAGCTTTATGATGGCCCTTATGCGACTTGGACTGATTTTCCATTTTCGCTGAAGGAGCAAATTTTAAATCAGTTTAAGGTATAAATGTTCTTTTAAGCGGTTTAATAATTTATATTTATGATGTTTCCATCTAATATTTAACTTTTGAAATGCAAAGCAAGTCTGTATTTGAAGACCGCTGAAGTGGCTGCTAATTTTTATCATGAAGCTCGAAAGAGATTGGCGAATCATTTCTCGGATGGTAGAAAGAAGAACAAGAGGCCTGGCTGGTGTCTG